TTATAATTGCTAATGTGTAAAGTAAACCCGACAGGGCTGAACAGAATACGGAACACAGCTGTGTAGTGCTTTACGATTTTCAGGGATTCAGGGAATTTAAGGTTGTCAAATCTGACTTCCCGTATACCACAGGGAACTGCATTGCATTCAGAAGCCCCATGCTCAGCCTGCCAGTTTCAGTTCAACTGACGTGTCTTACGGAACGCCAAGGTGAAGAAGTCAGAAGTCTGCTGTCTTCCTCAGTGATCCACTTGTTTGTCACCTTAGCTGTTTTCAGAGAGAAAAAAAAAAAAAAGACCGTCTTGTAGGCTGTGATTCGTTTCATGACATCTTGTACAGGCTGAGCAGTGTTTATTGCATTTAAATCATGTTTGTTTCTTAACTGGGTTTGACTGTGGATAGAGCCAAAGCCTGGCTCTGTTTCTGCTGCAACAGGGGGAAGATTTCTATAATGATGTATTCTGATTACTCTTCATTGGGACCATGGTGCCTTTTTAATCAGGACAGTAAATCTTGTCCCAGGATTCTGTACTTTTGTACGTTAACGGTTGTTGACTTTCCTTTTTTGGTGTGTCCCAAATAAATTAATATAACATACTTCTGGGCTTTTGTTTCTTCTTTCTAAAGGGGGAGGAAAGAGGAAACTGAAGCTGAAATAAATCTCTGCTGCACTCTCCCTACCAGGCTCTTGCAGGAGCAGCTGCAAAGCAAGCAGGTGGACCTGCTTTCATCTGGACTGCACAGGGCAGCAGTAGGCAAGACTCTAGAGATAGGAGGAGAGTCTAGAAGCCCCACGTGGAGCCTGTTTCCCAAAAGTGTTGGAGTCCTGCAGCAGCAGCAGCAGAAGGTAAGGGGAGAGGGCTGAAATTTGTGCACCTGGTGGCAGCGTTTCACTTTGGCTGTCCATGTGCTTCAGGCACTGAGAGATCGGTATCAGAGAGCCTCTCCTTCCTGGCAGTGATCTCATGGTCTTACCCCTCTGTGTAGGTTCCCCTTTCTGCCTGCTCTCCTGACTGTGATTCAGGGACGTGTTGAGGGGATTCTAAGATGAGTGCAGGGCAGGCGGTGACTGAAAGACACGTGGGGGAATGCTTTGCAGGACCTCAGAAAGGAAATGGGGAAGGAAGAAATGGTGAAAATGGCTCCTTTACCTCACCAGCTTTTCATGGGAGGAGGGACTGGAGATGCACCCAGGAGCTGCAAGGAATCCTGATGGATGCAGAGGTGCCGATTTAACTGGGTGCTTGTGGAAAACATTGTCAGCAGCTGCAGCTGGATGGCACGTAGGACGGTGCTCCCCTGCCTTAAAACTTGTGCTTTGATTTTTGCAGGAGGAGCACTGTGAAAAGGACATCCTGAAACCTGAGTGTGACCAGCCTCTGCTGCGTGCCAGCCTCTAGCCTGCAGAGCCAGGCAGGGCTGCTGCCAGCCCCAGGGAGTGTCTGACTCCTCTCGGCAAGCGACAGCTGACCTTTCACGGCCTTTGAACTGCCAAGGTCTGCTCTAAGCAAGGTGCTACAGAAATAACCATCCCATCTCCCAGTAAGTACATGCCTCTTTGTATGGTGCTTGGCAGCCCCTGCTCTGCCTCTTGCCTAGCATCTCAGAGAGGGGAAGGAACACCAAAAAAAGCAGCTAAAATGCATATTACTGCACTGCTGAGCTGGCTGGATGTGGAAAACAATCTGTGATTCAAAGCACAGGTGCAGTCACAAAGTTGGAATTCAAAACAAGTCCGGTCAAGCTCAGCAAGCAAAGTGCTGTGGGCACACAGCTCTCAGCTGTGCTTGGCTGCACCCATGCACGAGGGAGCACCTCTGTAGCTGTGGGTGCGAGAGCTGCCCCTGCAGTTGTGTCACAGCCTTGTCTTGGAGGTGCTGGGCAGCTTAACGTGGGCTGAAGGTGACAGACTGTGAGAGTGCAAGGTGAGACACAGGGAAGCAGTACTGGCCTGACTCCCATGCCACAGCTGCCAGGGCCTCCAAGGGAAAAAAAACACTTTGAATCCTGAGAAGAGCTTTGGGAAAGAGTTCCTTCAGGTGAATGTTATTACCCAGAAATGGATGAGGGTATTTCCTGTCCTTGCTGACAGTGTTGTCTTCTTGTTATTCTCAAGTTTCTGGACAGCAGCCACCATCTGCTGGCAGGGCTTTGTAGCCACCAGAGCCATGCTGCAGTTCAGCGCATCCGACCTGTGACCTACAAACAGCCCAGCGCCGCTCACAGCACTGCTGTGCCATCGTGGCTCTGTCCTGGGACACGAGGAGGGCACATTGTGCTGACAAATAATACAGCAGTGTGCTTAATTTACAAGGAAATCGTGCCAGCTTCCAAAGATTGAAATCTGAAAGGGCATTATGCAGAAATGTGCTGCCAGACTCTATGCGTATCGAGGAAAGCTTTGTAAAGACAGAACAGCTGAACTGAAAAAAAGTCTGCCACCTCAACTACATGTCTTTAAAAAAAATTAAAACTCAAATGGGCTCGGTTACAAAAGCTGGAGATGTGGTAGCAAAACTGACTGCAAAAAATCTCTAACCATTGACTGTTTATTAATGATGTATCTGCCATGCTTGCCATACAGGGTGTCCTGATTAAGAAAAGGGATTTCTCTAACATCAGTTTGTCCCACCTGACTGGCCAGGTGAACTGAAGAAACAGGAAAATCTATCTAAGGAAATCTGGAACATAAAGCTGCTGGTTTCTAATGTTTTGCTTTGGCAATAGATGAAAGTACTCATGCTGCAGATACGGCTCAACTTGCCGCTTTCCCTAGACGAACTAATAACAAATACAGTATCACTGAAGTAACAACTTTGGTGCCACTGCAACTCGATCTCTTGATTTATACGAAGTAGTAAAAAATTACATTAAAAAGCGTTTCTCTTCCACCTTTGTCAGCATATCTGGTGCAGCTCCTGTTGGCACCCTGGCAATGGTTGGTGAAAAGAAAACAGCCAGGGACTTACACAGTTAATAGGAGATAAAGAAACTGCTGTCAGTTTGATGAAACATCACAGCATTGCATGTCCAGAAAATTTGTGTGCAAAAGCTTTAAAGACGGGTAACACTGTGCAAATTGCCATCAAAGCTGTGAAGTTCATAAAGCCCAAGGGACTGAATCATGGCCAGTTCCAGGAGACCATTAAAAGAATGGATGCTGATTGTGGGGACATCATTTCAGAAGGAAGGAAGGTGACTGAGTGGGGGTAAAATGCAGAAATGATATTATGATTTGTTGAAGTGAAATCAAACACTTTATGAAATTCCCCAAAGGGGAATTTGCACCACAGCATGAGGACAGATAATGGTCACATATTCAGCATTTTTAGTGGTTTGACCACTCATTTAAAGGAGCTAAGCACGTGTCTTCAAGGTGAAAATGAACTCACCTGTGCCGTTTCAGACAGTAACAGCTTTTTAAATGACACAAATTGTGGCAAACCCAACTGATGGCAATGCACTTCATGCATTGTGATCCACTGGCTAAGCAGCCTGTGAACAGCAAAATATATGCATCCGTACATTCTGTTGCAGTAAAGGGATTTGGGAATTGGTTTCAAGAGTTCAAAAAAAATTTTTAATATTTGTAACTCCAGTTTCAGTTGAAATAAAGACATTACATGTGAATATTCAGATGGAATGTGTAGAGTTGCAATCAGACATTCAACTCAAAGAAAAAACCTGTCAGGTCTTTTTCCCAGACTTCCATAAGTCCTCTCTTACACAGGAAAATAAGAGAAATATCCCTTGATTCACAACAAGGTCATTGCTTTTTGGCAGTATGAACGTTCCTGAATGATAATTGCCAAGGATGAAGCACAGGAAGATTAATATTTCACCAAAATTCTCTGATGAACACTGCGAGAGCTCACTGGGAAGGGCGACCATGGGGCCAGGCTGAGGCATCAGTTCCACAAGACCAAACACCCCACTAGATTTATGTCTTTGTTGCTCTGTTTTTTAATTAAAAAAAAAAAATAAGTTTTGTTACATATATACATTAACTCTAATATACATTTTATATGCAGACCAAAACAACTCCCATTCAATCAACACAGCCCAGACAAGCCAGAAGGTTGGACAGCTGTGCTGTACGTACAGACAGACATCCTTACCCATAGCACTTTGCACCTCACAGCGCGGATGGCTCCCTGTTGGTCCCATTCCTGGTCCCACTTGCTCTGCGCTGGCTATGCAAGCAGCATCAGGCACTGCCCTGCATGTAGGAATGGCTGTGCACAGCACCTGCAGCAGAGACAGGGAAACTGTGCTGGGGCAGCCCCAGACTCTCCTGGGATGGAGCAACCATGTCTATTACATCACATCACCCCAGGCTTCTTTACACGAGGCGCTCACACAGTGCCAATTCCCTGCCCCCCTGGCTCCTAGCATTTCCAGTGAAATCACTTTATTGCCCAATTTCCCATAGCAGGCAATTACAGAGCAATGAATGCAGCCAGGTAATCCCCAGGTGTGTTCATAACACTACTTGTCATTTGACACGCTGCATTACAGCACCGTTCCCCCTCAGTAACTGTGCCCAGACATATCTGCACTTCCTTCAGCATCAGCACTTCTCTGGGTGTTCATCAGCTGCCCTGCTTAAGCCAGGCGCGTGCGGGCAGTGCTGTGCAGGAGGTGTAACCACAGCAAGCGCTCCTGTTGTCCCTCACTTGCAGGGCACCGTTTCCCACATAGGGCTGAGTTTCTAGATGAGAGGAGCAGGTGCAGCGGAAAGTCCAGAAATTTTGGGATGACGCCTGGCTGACCGCAGGGACGGGGAGGTGGGAGCAGCCTGTAACAGCAATCTGCCTAATTCCCCCTCCTTGGCCTTCCTGGGATGGTCACCGTGACGCTGGGTGTCCTTCACCATTAGTGGTGGCTGACACCACGCCACGTGGCCTTGTACAGAAACGAGCGGGGAGCCTGATGAGCTTCCAGCAACCGGGGTGTATATTAAAGGGAAGAGTGAGGGCGGGCTGCAGGGCTGCAGCAGCATGGCCGGGCTGGGGCTGGACAGAGACCTGAGGCACCTGCTGAAACTGCACCGCACCGAGATCGCCATGGCGGTGGATGATGTTTTCCCGCTGCTGCACGGCCTTGCCGACCACGACATCGTCCCTGAGCACATCTTCAAGGTGAGGCCATGCGGGGGGTCCCAGCCACATTGTGAGGACCGGTGCCTGCTGGTGGCACTCGCGTGTGTGTCCATGGCTGTCGGTGGCATCGGCAGGAGACGCTGAGCCAGACAGAGCGAGAGGGCTCCCACCGCGCGTTCCACGCACTGCTCACCTGGCTGCTGGGCCGCGATGCCGCTGCCGTCCGCGACTTCTGGGCTGTCCTCTTCAAGGACTACAACCTGGAGCGCTACACCCGGCTCCGGCCCCTCCACAGCGCCTTCCCCGGAGGTAGGAAGCCAGGCTGGAAGGATCAGCGCCCTTGAGGGCTGCACACGAGCAGTGGTCTGACCGTGCCCCTCTCTGTCCCCATTGCAGAGGTGGACCTCGGGCAGCAGTGCAGCAGCAGGTGCCCGTCCCCCAGCTCCATGGGACCGACCCCACACAGACCCCAAGGCAAGAGAAAAGCTGAGGAGCGGGATGGGGCCCGGGTGGCACAACCCTCACCAAGGCACACTGCCAGCCCTGGTATGAAGGTCTAGTGTGGGACGTATGTGGGGAACAGACATAGGGGAGCACTTGTGGTGTCACCCAGGGTGACAGCCCCCCCAACACCACTAGGGCTCCTGGCGAAGGCAAAGACTGTGAAGAAGCCAGACAGCGCGGATACTGCACGCACACCCCGTACCAGCGGTGAGTGCCAATCTCCTGGCACCTGGGGGGACAAAATTCTCCCCAGTGCAATCCGAATTGTGTGGTGACAGTCTGGGTGAGGCCACGATTGCCCCAGAGCCATCAGGCTGGGCAGAGGTGTGGGCCGGGCAAACCAGGGGCAGCAATGAGGCAGTGTTTGCCTGTGCACATCTTGGGGCCATAGTAGAAACCTAGTGTCTGGCTGAGCCCCCCTGCCCACAGGCTTCCAGGCTGCCTCAGTGCAGAGGGGCTCATGGTGCCATCAGTGTGGTGCCTGTCACCTGTGGGGCTATTGAGGAAAAGCCTGTCCTTATCAGACAAGCGCAGAAGCTGAATAAGTGCAGGCACGGGACAGCCCCAAGACTGCCAGAAACTGAAAAGAAGTTTCAGCCCCCAAATCAGGAGCACCCCTCCTTGGGAAGGCCCACAGAGATGGACAAGAGTGACAGAGACGGAACATGCTGAAGCAGCGCTCTGCTCTCTTCCAGGCAGTGCCAAGGCGAGCAGCAGAGCCAGGGATGAGCTCTGTGTCCCAGCTGCTGGTGAGGAGCTGGGGGCCAGGAGCAGGAGCCGCAGCCTGAAGCCTACTTCTCGACCAAGGGCACCCCAAAGCGTACAGTCCCCACTCAGTAACACACACACTTGCAGCCGCACAAACCCTCACAACAGCAGGGGCCTTTCCTTTCCAGCAAATGGGTCCCCAAAGAACCTTGTTTCACAGAGCAGGGAGATGTGTGTGACCGCCCAGGGCCACCTGCCAGCAGTACCTGCGCAGAGCCGGGACGCAGCACCCTACCAGGTGATCCCAAAAGACAAAGTGATGCCATCAGGGTGTTCCCAATATATCCCTCTCGACTGGCCTACTGCAGCCAGCCTGCGGCTCAGCCGCCCCACAGTCACAGCCCTACAACAGCCTGGGAGCACCAGATCCCCGCCCCAAATACAGCCCATGGATCAGCTTTGTGATGGGAAGAGATGGGACAGGAGGTGCCTGGATCCCAGTGGCGAGCCCCTGTATGCCCACCCATGGTAGGACAACGAGGATGAGTGTGCCGTGTGCGGGGACGGCGGAGAGCTCATCTGCTGCGATGGCTGTCCCAGGGCCTTCCACCTCCCGTGCCTGGTGCCCCCACTGCCTCGTGTCCCGAGGTGAGCCCTGCGTCGGGATGGGGCTCCACCGTGCCTCGTGGCCCCACTGCCCCTCACAGCTGTGCTGGGCTCGTGCAGTGGGACGTGGCAGTGCAGCTCATGTGTGGCCGAGCTGGGCCGGCTGCGGGAGGCAGAAGCGGCTGCGGAGCAGCTCCCTGCAATCCCAGAGAAGGAGGAGCACGGTGCCCAGACGGGAGGAAGCCACGGGAGCACCTGCAGCCGCTGTTTCTCCAGGATCTCCGCACCCCAACGCTGCCCTACGCGTGACGGGGACCCCGGGTGAGTCCCCACGTCACAGCCCAAGCCTCTCCATTCCTTCCTGCTGCTCGGTGCGCTTGCAAATACCTCGTTGGCTTGCAGAGGACTGTGGCTTTGCGGCTCCTGTGTGGGCACCCCAGAAATAGGCAGCCGGGAGAGCACCGCAGCTGCTGCTAACCACGTGCTTCAGGCAGCAAAGGTTGGTACAGCCAGGGCCGGTGTTGGTGCATGGAATGCAGGCGGGGCTGGGTGAAGGCGCCTGGAGGAAAAGCCCGAGAGGGAGAGAGAAAGGAGTAAGGGGGTGCGACGGATGAGGAATGGGGGTGGGGGAGGGACAAGGCAGCCAGAGATGGGCGGGACGCCGGAGCTGTAGCGGAGGGGGAAGTGCACAGCCCAGGCGCTGCGGCCACAGCCTGCGGGCCGCAAAGGAGCGGAACGAGCGCATGAGCGCAGGTGGGGGTGACACATCTCCTCCCACAGCTGGAGAACGGCTCAGCGAGCACAGAGCCCACGTCCAGCAGGGAAGAGCTCGATGCCCTGCTGAGTGAGGTAAGACACATGGAGTCCAGCCACAGCATGTGTATGCTGGGTACACAGGCAAGCTCCAGAGCAGTGTGGTGGACTCCGGGAAAGACGATGAGAAATGGGTAAAGGAGAGGGGCTGAGAACAGTGTCAAAATGGAAACTGACAGCGCCGCTGCGGGCGATCCCACAGGGAACCTGGGACGGGATTCTGCAGTGGGCATTGCAGAGCATGGCACGGCCCCTTGCAGACACAACTGGGCTGTTTGACTAGAGCCTGCTGCAGTGAGGGAAGGCAAAGACAGCGGAGACAGTGGACAGAAGAAGGGAATGACAAGAGTGAAATTACAAACCACGACGAATAAAGAGCCGAGAAAACAGAAGGGAAAACGCAGACTAAGAGTCCATAGTTACAGGGAAAACAGCATAAGGGAACACAGCCCCCAGACGCAAAAGCTGCTGCTATCATCCTGCAGCCACCCTGACTTCATGGGAGCAGAGGGAAGCAAAAGGGCCGCAGCAAAAGCCTACAGCACCCGGTATTCCCAGGAGGTCTCCCATCCAAGTACTAACCAGGCCCGACCCTGCTTAGCTTCCGAGATCGGACGAGATCGGGCGTTGCCAGGGTGGGATGGCCGTAGGTGCCCTGGGCTCCTGCTCCAGCCCTCTTCCCATCTTCTCACCACCGCCACCACCGCCACCACCGCCACTGCCACACAGCACATCAAAACATCCACAGCTCCAAAGTGCCACAAAGAAAAAAGCAAGCCTACGGAACCCTCAGCTCCCCGCCCCTCACCCATCCCAGGCTACAACCCGCACCAACCCTCAGTAGGGCTTACGACGGCCCCCAGCCTGCACCCGAGCCCAGCCGGCCTGGCACTACGGCACTTGCAACCCCGCAACGGCCCTCTGCACAGCACCGCACGCGCATGCAAGCGGCACGCGGCACAGCCCGGCACGCGCGCACACACACACACACACACACACACACACACACACTCGTGCCTCCCCACCCTCCCAAAGCAACTCAACCAGGAACGCCCCCACCCACCACCCTGCACCCCCCAGCCCTGTGCCGCGGACACAGCGCCGCCAGCGGTTCGAGTGTGGCACTGCACCACAGCGCCCGGCCTCGCGGCACCAAAGGGGAAAAGCAAAAGCCTACAGCACCCGGTATTCCCAGGAGGTCTCCCATCCAAGTACTAACCAGGCCCGACCCTGCTTAGCTTCCGAGATCGGACGAGATCGGGCGTTGCCAGGGTGGGATGGCCGTAGGCATGGCCTGCTCCTGCTCCAGCCCTCTTCCCAGCTGCACGCCGCCGCCACCGCCACCGCCCGCCACCTGCCGGAAAGAAACCCGCCGAGCCCCAAAGCCGGCCAACACTGAAAATAAACACTGACAACGGTGCGCGACCCCACCGCGAAAATAAATAAATAAATAGATAGATAGATAAATAAATAAATAAATAAATAAATAAATAAATAAATAAAAGGCAAGAAGGAAGATCCCGGCAATTAGAAGACACTCAGCCTCACCTCCGTCCCTGCAAAGCTGATGGAACAGCTGGTGCTGCACGGCATCTCCACACTACTGCAAGAAAACGAGGCCATCACGAGCAGTCAGCACCGGCTCACCACGGGGACGTCGTGCTTCACCAACTTGGAAGCCTTCTGTGATGCTGTCTCTGCCTGGGTGGATGGGGGGACAGCAGTGGATGCAGTCTACCTTGATTCCAGCAAGCCATTTGATACTGTCCCCCACGACATCCTTATCACAAAGCTGAGCAAGTGTGGGATACATGAGTGGACAGTGAGGCGCCTTGAGAACTGGCTGACTGGCAGAGCGCAGAGGGCCGTCGTTGGCGGTGCAGAGTCCGGTTGCAGGCCTGTAAGCAGCGGTGTTCCTCAGGGGTCGCTGCTGGGTCCGGTCTTGCTCAACATCTTCATCAATGACCTTGATGAGGGGATGGTGGCCACCCTCAGCAAGTTTGTGATGATACGAAGTTGGGAGGATAGGCTGACACGCCTGAAGGCCGTGCTGCCATTCAGCGAGACCTGGACAGGCGGAGAGCTGGGCAGAAAAAAAACGGATGGGGTTTAACAAAAGCAAGTGTAGAGTCTTGCAGCTGGGGAGGAATAATTGCATGCACCGGTACAGGTTGGGGGATGAGCTGCTGGAGGGGAGCTCTGCGGAGAGGGACCTGGGTGTCCTGGTGGACGACAGGTCGGCCACGAGCCAGCAGTGTGCCCTTGTGGCCAAGAAAGCCAAAGGCATCCTGGGGTGCATTGCAAAGAGCGTGGCCAGCAGGTCGAGGGAGGCGATCCTCCCCCTCTGCTCTGCCCTGGTAAGGCCTCATCTGGAGCACTGCGTCCAGTTCTGGGCTCCCCAGTACAAAAACGACAGGGATCTCTTGGAAAGAGTCCAGCGGAGGGCCACCAAGATGGTGAGGGGCCTGGAGCGTCTCTGCTATGAGGAAAGGCTGAGTGAACTGGGTCTGTTCAGCCTGGAGAAAAGAAGGCAGAGAGGGGACCTGAGAGGAGAGGAGAGGAGAGGAGAGGAGAGGAGAGGAGAGGAGAGGAGAGGAGAGGAGAGGAGAGGAGAGGAGAGGAGAGGAGAGGAGAGGAGAGGAGAGGAGAGGAGAGGAGAGGAGAGGAGAGGAGAGGAGAGGAGAGGAGAGGAGAGGAGAGGAATAAAAGGCCAAATAGACCCCAACTCCATAGGGACGACAAAACAGCAGAGCGGAACAATGGCCCCGCACACCAAAGCTCAAGCCTCGCGCAGCCAGCTGGACGGCGCGGGAGCAGAGGGAAGCAAAAGGGCCGCAGCAAAAGCCTACAGCACCCGGTATTCCCAGGAGGTCTCCCATCCAAGTACTAACCAGGCCCGACCCTGCTTAGCTTCCGAGATCGGACGAGATCGGGCGTTGCCAGGGTGGGATGGCCGTAGGTGCCCTGGGCTCCTGCTCCAGCCCTCTTCCCATCTTCTCACCACCGCCACCACCGCCACTGCCACATAGCACATCAAAACATCCACAGCTCCAAAGTGCCACAAAGAAAAAAGCAAGCCTACGGAACCCTCAGCTCCCCGCCCCTCACCCATCCCAGGCTACAACCCGCACCAACCCTCAGTAGGGCTTACGACGGCCCCCAGCCTGCACCCGAGCCCAGCCGGCCTGGCACTACGGCACTTGCAACCCCGCAACGGCCCTCTGCACAGCACCGCACGCGCACGCAAGCGGCACGCGGCACAGCCCGGCACGCGCGCACACACACACACACACACACACACACACTCGTGCCTCCCCACCCTCCCAAAGCAACTCAACCAGGAACGCCCCCACCCACCACCCTGCACCCCCCAGCCCTGTGCCGCGGACACAGCGCCGCCAGCGGTTCGAGTGTGGCACTGCACCACAGCGCCCGGCCTCGCGGCACCAAAGGGGAAAAGCAAAAGCCTACAGCACCCGGTATTCCCAGGAGGTCTCCCATCCAAGTACTAACCAGGCCCGACCCTGCTTAGCTTCCGAGATCGGACGAGATCGGGCGTTGCCAGGGTGGGATGGCCGTAGGCACGGCCTGCTCCTGCTCCAGCCCTCTTCCCAGCTGCACGCCGCCGCCACCGCCACCGCCCGCCACCTGCCGGAAAGAAACCCGCCGAGCCCCAAAGCCGGCCAACACTGAAAATAAACACTGACAACGGTGCGCGACCCCACCGCGAAAATAAATAAATAGATAGATAGATAAATAAATAAATAAATAAATAAATAAAAGGCAAGAAGGAAGATCCCGGCAATTAGAAGACACTCAGCCTCACCTCCGTCCCTGCAAAGCTGATGGAACAGCTGGTGCTGCACGGCATCTCCACACTACTGCAAGAAAACGAGGCCATCACGAGCAGTCAGCACCGGCTCACCACGGGGACGTCGTGCTTCACCAACTTGGAAGCCTTCTGTGATGCTGTCTCTGCCTGGGTGGATGGGGGGACAGCAGTGGATGCAGTCTACCTTGATTCCAGCAAGCCATTTGATACTGTCCCCCACGACATCCTTATCACAAAGCTGAGCAAGTGTGGGATACATGAGTGGACAGTGAGGCGGCTTGAGAACTGGCTGACTGGCAGAGCGCAGAGGGCCGTCGTTGGCGGTGCAGAGTCCGGTTGCAGGCCTGTAAGCAGCGGTGTTCCTCAGGGGTCGCTGCTGGGTCCGGTCTTGCTCAACATCTTCATCAATGACCTTGATGAGGGGATGGTGGCCACCCTCAGCAAGTTTGTGATGATACGAAGTTGGGAGGATAGGCTGACACGCCTGAAGGCCGTGCTGCCATTCAGCGAGACCTGGACAGGCGGAGAGCTGGGCAGAAAAAAAACGGATGGGGTTTAACAAAAGCAAGTGTAGAGTCTTGCAGCTGGGGAGGAATAATTGCATGCACCGGTACAGGTTGGGGGATGAGCTGCTGGAGGGGAGCTCTGCGGAGAGGGACCTGGGTGTCCTGGTGGACGACAGGTCGGCCACGAGCCAGCAGTGTGCCCTTGTGGCCAAGAAAGCCAAAGGCATCCTGGGGTGCATTGCAAAGAGCGTGGCCAGCAGGTCGAGGGAGGCGATCCTCCCCCTCTGCTCTGCCCTGGTAAGGCCTCATCTGGAGCACTGCGTCCAGTTCTGGGCTCCCCAGTACAAAAACGACAGGGATCTCTTGGAAAGAGTCCAGCGGAGGGCCACCAAGATGGTGAGGGGCCTGGAGCGTCTCTGCTATGAGGAAAGGCTGAGTGAACTGGGTCTGTTCAGCCTGGAGAAAAGAAGGCAGAGAGGGGACCTGAGAGGAGAGGAGAGGAGAGGAGAGGAGAGGAGAGGAGAGGAGAGGAGAGGAGAGGAGAGGAGAGGAGAGGAGAGGAGAGGAGAGGAGAGGAGAGGAGAGGAGAGGAGAGGAGAGGAGAGGAGAGGAGAGGAGAGGAGAGGAGAGGAGAGGAGAGGAGAGGAGAGGAGAGGAATAAAAGGCCAAATAGACACCAACTCCGTAGGGACGACAAAACAGCAGAGCGGAACAATGGTCTCGCACACCAAAGCTGAAGCCTCGCGCAGCCAGCTGGACGGCGCGGGAGCAGAGGGAAGCAAAAGGGCCGCAGCAAAAGCCTACAGCACCCGGTATTCCCAGGAGGTCTCCCATCCAAGTACTAACCAGGCCCGACCCTGCTTAGCTTCCGAGATCGGACGAGATCGGGCGTTGCCAGGGTGGGATGGCCGTAGGCACGGCCTGCTCCTGCTCCAGCCCTCTTCCCAGCTGCACGCCGCCGCCACCGCCACCGCCCGCCACCTGCCGGAAAGAAACCCGCCGAGCCCCAAAGCCGGCCAACCGAAGCGCGGCCCTTCTCTACCTGCAACTCCCCGCACTTCACCCACACAACCATACAACCTGGCTCTAACCTCACCCCGCCTTCGCACATCCCCCCATATCCACCCTACCCCACGCGTACTGAGTGAGACTGCGCCACTTGCAGCCCTGACGCGGATCAACGCCTGGCACGGCACGCACACACGCGCACCAACTCACGCGCTTCCCAGGCTCCCAAACCAACTCCAGCGGCCCTCACTCAGTGGCACCTCGCCCCCAGCGGATCGACACGGACACTGCACCGCGCTTCCCGACCCGCGGGGTAAACATGGAGAAAGAAGTCCAGCATCCAAAGTCGAAAATTAAACAACACCCCGGATTCCTTTGCGGTCTCCCTTGCAGGGAATAGCCGTGACGTGACATGCCCTCCTTTGCTTTTAACATTTCTGTGTACTCTCTTTTCTTTAGATATTACCGCGTTCTGTGTTTTCCATGGTATTTTTTTTTTTTTTTTTTTGTATATTAAGTATTTTCACGTTCCTGTTCGTACATTTAGACTTGCTTTTACAAAATACTTGCATATGTTTTTTTGTTTAAGTTTTTAAACCTATTTTAGCGTGCTTTTTTGTTGTAATTATACAGATCGATATGACGTGGAAAGGTGTTTCATCAGAGATGTAATGATGCACGACGGGCACAATAGAAATGTGCTATAATGGAAAGGAATGATTTTCGGGGAACCAAATCTCAGGTAAAATCGTTTTAATTTGCAGTTACCATGGTGGGCACCCTGCAGGGCAGAGCATGCAGCAAAAAACACATCGCAGCCTTACATTCCTTATCCAGTGATTCCAGGTATTTGTCCCACTTCTCCACTGATTGAGTAGCCCATGTTTGCATCCTATGCAAAGCTTGCTATTCTATTTACGGCCTGATTCCATCCACCTTTGATCTCTTTCATAATTTGTTACCTGTTGGTTATTGTGCCTATCCCATCCGTTTCCCTCATCTCCACAGCTGAGCCTCTCACTGTTCGCTTAGCTGTTTGTCCCACGTGCCCTGCTGGTACATGAGGCTGGAGAAAAAGCAACACCGCAGCTGTAGCTGTCACAGAAGGAGCCCCACGCCTCACACACTGCCCTGTGTCTGCTGCAGGCAGCAGTCGCAGCCAGGGTTGCTCCGAGTGGCCTCAGCAGCCCCTTTCTGCATAGGTTTGGTAGCAACGAGCTTAGTTAATAGGCGCAGCTGGCGGTCACCACATTACGGTGGGTTTACAAAGCCGCTTCCTGCCCGCCTTCAGTTAAAAGCAGCCCTCACTGCTGCTCTGTGACGCTCAGGCACGAGCGAGCCACGAGCAGGTGCTGCCTCCGAGCTGCTGCTTCCCTCCCTCCCTCCCTCCCTCCCTCTCTCTCGCCTTCCCCGTGAGCAAATCCCATCAGCAGGCAGCCTAACGCACGCTAATCCCGATCGGGGGCTGCGTCGGGTACCTCGCAGGGACCGGGAGGGGCGGCGCCGGCGGCACAGCGCGGCAGACAGCCGGCGGGTCGTGGGGGGCCGCCCGCCTTCCTCACGCTTCGCAGAGGAGGGGGAGCGCGGGGCCGGGCCGGGCTTCGTCCGCGTTCATTTTAGCCGAGAGGGAGGCACGCGCCAGGGCTTACGGCCCCGCGGCACGAGGCAGGCGATCGACCCCCGCACGGCGGGGCTGCGGGCGGCCGCGGCTCCGGGGTCACGCGGGGGAGCCGCCCGCGGCCCTCCGGCACGGCCGCCCCGCCTCCTCCAGCACCGCCCCGCCCCTCCCCGTCCGCCGCCTCCGAGTGAGGGAATAAAGTTCAGGCCCGGGGCAGGCGGTCCTGCGCACAGCGCGAGCGCGGCCCGCGAACGGCAGCGGTGCGGGGCGATGGCCTCGGAGGAGCTGGCGCAGAAGTTGCAGCGGCGGCTGCTGCTGGAGGAGAGCGGGGCGGCGGCGGAGGGCGATGAGCGGGAAGCGGAGGTCCCGGCCCCGTCCGAGGCGGGCGAGGAGGAGCGGAGCTGCCTGACGGCCAGCGCGGGCGCGGAGCTGAGCGCGAAGCTGGCCCGGCGACACGACATCAACGAGGGCGCGGCGCAGCCCCGCCGGGCCGCCGTCTTCAACCCCTACACCGAGTTCAAGGAGTTCAGCCGCCGGCAGATCAAGGACATGGAGCGCATGTTCCGCCTGTGAGTGCCGCGCGGGGCTCCGCCGACCCCCCCGCCACCTCGCTTTACTTCCTTCCCTGCTGTCCCGCGTGTTCGGTGGGTGCGAGGAGGGCTGGACGCGGCCGTTGTGCCCCGCGCCCCGCCTGCTTCTGTTCGGCTGCTTTCTCGGGGCCGGGGGTGATGGGCGCTCGCGGTGGCGCCCGGCAGCTCTGACTTTATGGGGAAAGTAGGACGAGGAGGAGCACCTGCGCGTCCCTCTGTCAGGGGGACGAGCGCTGCGTGCCGTGCGCGGCCGTGTGCTGCGGGTGGCGGCTGCTGCCTGCAGGTACGGCTGACCTTTGCTTGGCCTCGTCCGGCGTCCTGCTGTGCGCTCGCCGGGGCCGGCAGGGGTGCGGTGCTGCTGCTGCAGCCCTGCTGCGTGCCCCGGGGCGGGCCGTGTCCCTGTGCCTTGCAGTCACGCTGCTGGTCTGCCTTCGGCAGCTTTGTGGCTCCAACTGCAGTCTTGTTGGCCTGGCTTTGTATTCCCTCCTGTGCACTCAAATGAAGCTTAAGTGGGCTTCCTCTTATCCTCTTTTCCTGGGATAGAGTTCCCCTTCTGTCAGGAACGTTCATACTATGTTCAAGCAATGCAGAGCACTGTTTGTGTAAGGCAAAGCATTTCTGCTTAACCAGGGCTGTGTTCCAGCCCTGCTGTGTGCTCTTCATGCTCTGTCCCGGCTCCTGCATTTGGGCTGTGTGTGAGTGCCTTTGTTGTCTGTGCTCATGTTTCTTTTTGGTACCCCTAATCTCTGCTCCCTGGGCCTGACGTTCCCGGCCGTGAGGAGAGGGGGCAGGGCTGGAGGTGGGGATGCTGCCCGGCACAAAGAGACTGGGGCACGAAAGAGCCGTGTGGGGTGCAGGGAGCTGCTTTCTCTTACAGAGGTGTCTGCAGAGGGTTTGTAACTTGTCAGGGCTTTCTCCTGTCTGAAAGCTGCCTTAAGCATTTCAGAGGCTGGGCCAAGAGACAGTTCGCTTGAATGCTTCCACTTCACAGCTCTGTGGGGTCTTGCTGGCCCCAGACAGGACTGTTGCTGCGGGAAACCTAGCTGTGTGCTTGTGGAGAGGCATTCATCTTTCTGAGTGTGCCGGAGGTCTTTGTTGTGTGGGCTGCTTTGCATCAGCAGCTGGGCACTGCGAGGGAGGTGCCTGGGTGAGATTTCTGCTCTGCTTTGCTCCTGTGCCACTTCTGGCAGCTGGTAAAGGGGTACTGTGCTGTGCGGAGGGCTGGGATGTGGGACTGTGAGAGCAGGAGGGTGAACCGTGATGGCTGTGCCTGTGGCCTAGAAGCTGAGGGTAGGAGTGTGGAGTGGGCAGGGATGTGGACTCTGAATGGAACAACTGTGATTAGGGAAATAAAAAAAAAAGTGGAAGAGCTGAATTGCAGCTGAATTTTTAGACAATGAGCTCATTATAAATGCAGGCCCTACAAGTGGGGAATTTAGACTTTGCAGTTGAATGCTAATCAGCAGTTCAGTGTAGCTGGGAAGCATTGCGTGCCCTTTGAGGACCATTGCAGCTGAGTGCTAGTCAGCTTGCCAGAACAGGATGGAGCTGGGCTGCGTGCTCCCAGGGGATCCAGGGGATGGTGGGTGTCATCCCTCTGGGCAGGCAGATAGAAACCCCCGTCCTGGTGGTGGCTGTGCTGGATTCAGCTGGAGTTGGCTGTAGGGGATCTGGTTTTTTGCTCCATCTGGTCCCAGCAACCTGTTCTAAGTATTGGCCGGCACCACGTGCTCCAGAAGGAGAGGAAATACTCCTCTTAATTCCTGCCTGTCAGAGCTGGAGTTAATGTGATTAAGGGTTTTATGCTTCATATGGCTTATTGGCCTCAGCAACAGCCACCTAGGATTTTTCTTACTGATGTTAGAAAATAAGTATTTGACGAGCTGCATGTTGTCTTGTTGCCACCAGATGCCAAGTTTCTGTCCTTGGTTTCCCATCCCTAGGGTCTGGGAGCAAGGGTTCAGTTGGGCTTGGCTCTCCCCCCTGTTTGAGGCTCACATCCTTGTTCCTGTGTGCTTGAGGAGCGTCCCAGGTGCCAGCAGCAGGGTGCTGCGGCTGTGCCACCCCAGGGGCTGCTGCTGCAAACTGTAGACGTGCCTCAGGTGGCAACAGGAGCTCTTGGGGTGGGCTTTTATTTTTTTATTTTGGCAGAGGGACCAGGAAGTCTGCAGCTCAGGCTAATTATAATGCGACCTAATTAGTTGCCTGTTCTGACTGTGTGGTGATGGAGGTAACCACAATAACCTCTCTTCCCAAAGCTTTGCAAGCAGGCTCTGGGGAGCTCTGGAGTCCTGCAGCTCACCTTGCTGTGATCTCATCTGGGCAAAGGCGGCTTGGGGGCAGGTGTGTGTGAGAGCCAGGCTGTGCCTGGGCTGAGTGACCTCCCTGAGGTACGGAGCGGGGGAGGAGAGCAGCCACCAGATTAGTCTGCAGGGTGGGAGGAAGTGGGAGGAAGTGCATAAATTCCCACGTTGCTGTTGCACT